TGTGCAAATGAACATCAACTGAACATGAAAGAAACATAACATTAAACATGTTTGTGTGCTAATACCCGCCCCCCACCCCCACCTCCCGAACATCCAGTGACATCGAACACTTGACATGAACCTCTCGGAGACATGAACCTCTCGGAGAACCCCCCGTCTGGAGGGTCCAATGTTAACCCCATTGAGGGGTTTTCCGAGTTGTGGTCGAACATCGCAAGTGATGGACCTGCTCGCAAACACTTAGTGCCTTCATGGTTTGCAAGATATAGAGCGGTTGATGCTGGAATGCAATCCCTGGTGAACTATAGGCCACTCACAAATTTGGCTATATGCAATAGCTAGCGCACCACAAATTTTGACCGTAGCTCAATATATTATATATAAAAATCTCAAAATAAGTATCGCAATGTGAACCATATATGTCAAAGAACCATCCACCCTTGTGAGTCAGTCCGGTGAAGATAACTCTACCATCGTTGCCGTTAGAAGAAAATACTGGCCATGAAAATTCCCATCCATACCCCTACCCTAGCACCTCTTCTCTTTTGTGCCCTACTACACCGCCTGGCCAAGAACCGACAGACGGCCGCCTATAGCTTTGCATCGGCAGGAGACGGGCGCTCGCTTGGTCTTCAGCAATCGCAACGACTATTTCCCTGACACGAAGTACCGGGTCCGGGAGCTTTCGTCTTTTTTCGGTGTTGATAGACCACCCTGTTTAGGCCCTGGTTCAATGTACGGACTTGCCACAATCGTGAGTAGAAAGGGCCAGGCCCAGATTCGAACCCCTGAACCCCTCACCGTCCGTCCTTTCTGCCCAAAGGAGTTGACTTCGTGATCTAATCTGCCCAAGCTCAGGAAGAATCTGCAACTGGTACTCGGACCAACACCTGTCAAACCCAGAGATTGTTGCTGAAGTTTGACCATGAAAACATGACGTGAACCGTTCCTTGTGTTCTGTATATTCTCTTAAAACGATGTGATTGTATTTGGTGGGTTGATGAACCAAGGAACTGGATGTGTTTTACTCCGCATAGTTTTGTTGTGTGATGTCCTGTTGTTTTTGTTGGGAATTTCAACACTTCAACCTCACCACAATTGTATGCCCTGACCATCCAACAGTGCAAGATAGGGTTCTAGTCCACGTAGCTTTCAGAAAGGGCGATATAGTTAGACTATGGAATCCATATCCCTCGGATGGTCCTTGGTAGACCAGGTATCTTTGCGTTCCGACGTTCGTCCCCACGTCTTAAGCTCCGCTCCGCTCCCTCTCCGGTCCCACCCGGACCACCGACCTCCGGCGGGGACCCCCGCCGGCACCGGCGACCGGCGGTCCGCGCAGGTGATGGGGATCTATGCGGACGACGCCAATGCCATCCTGGATGTGTCCGGACGACCCATCGAAGGGGTCTAAGATGGGAAGAAGGATGGACGACTATGTAGAAGGGAAGTAAGAGGTGTTCAAGATGAGAAGAAATCAGACATCCATGGCAAGATATATGGCAATTCTCACTTGAATGTTGGATCTTGAATAGTCAACTCACCCCCTCTAACCAACTTTCGCTAGTTCAGTAGCTTGGTCTCCGTCCAAGGACAGTTTGCCCCACTGAAGTGCTAAGCTCCTCTTCAGGTAACGACTCGTCGGACCAGTTGAAGAATCGGACTTTTGATCGATCAATGTCTCTGCTAGCTGCTAGGCTTTGGCACTTGCGGACGCTTGCGGGTTGTGTGAGACTCATTCATTGGGTTGGGCGTTCGTTGGATCTGTCGATCGACTCGACGCCGGACGGCCAGCCGATTCAACCATCGCCAGTGGTCAGAAACGAGCGCGTCCTCGGGCGCGGTCAACAAAAAGGCCGCCAAAAGTCTGATTGAACTGAATTAACTGTCTATTTTCCAAAACCATGTGGCCAAAACCAAAGGGGTTCTTACGGTCACAGTTCAGACCGGACCTCTGGTCGGAGGTTCTCATCGGCGGTTCGCGGCTGAAACCATCTTCCTCCAACACCACCTTCACCAAGAATTGCCAGCTGAGCTACTACCATTTGCGGGATCCGTTTTTAGAACAACCGAAATCATACCATACCACTTACCTTCATTGATGCCGCGCAGATTAGGTACATGAACAAGAGGCACTCTATTTCGATCACTAGAGAAGATGGAACACACTTTATGTCTAAAGGCACTAAAGTTCCTTCACTCGCAGTCTTATTTTGAGTCTATCTGGTACATGACGGCTTTTGGTGTTCCCCAGTACCACTTAAATCAGAATACTACACTTAATTTCGATGTGACCGCCCTCTTTCGCTTCATTGATCTCCAAAAAAAAAGCCAGGTAAGTGTTTGAAAGATATCACTACCATCACCTCTTTCTGCAACCCAATATGTTGATATATACATCTCTAGACCAATCTTGCTTCTACACTTCTGGACCTTAGACCTCTAGACACACTGTTTGGGGTCTTTGCTGGGATATGTTTAATGAGATGTTGCTTGGAGGACTTGGGGGAAGGGGGTCTCCAAAAGAGTGGGACATGGTCTTTGAAGGTCTCCAAAAAACGAGTGTAGGCGTGCCACAGCTTGAACACATGTATGAAATAGCGGGTGGATTGGACAAATACGTTTAACCTCTATTAAACTGACAGAGTCAGGATCTCTGAAACACAGACAGTGGATGTGTGGTCTCTTGCAGATCTACTGAATACAGGATCGATGAATACGGATACACTGAACCCTCCTTTTGGGGGTTCCTGTGGTACCTGTGCTTCGGTGGGACTGGGGGTGGGTGCCAGGAGGGTCCATCAGACCTGCTAGAAGGAGGAATATGCTCCTGTTCGGTGGAACTTGTGGAACCATTTAAACCTTTCAAAGAACGGTTGACAGGTGAAACAATCGTGTTGGTGTCTAAATTCACATCAATTCACTATAGTACAACAAAAGACTCATGAAACTCATGGTGGGCCAGGAATCCTTGGAGCTTTAGCCTGTTCACGGCCCACGCCCGCAGATGGGCCGCCCGGCGGGTCCCGCCCCATCATACGCCAGGTTCACCTGCGTCATGCCGCAGCTGGTCTCCTTTGGCGACGAAGAGCGGAAGAACATGTCCGGACGCCTCGGAGCAGTGACGCCGAGAGAGGCGTCGGACCAGGCGACGAAGGGATAGACCATGGCGACGCGACCCGGGACCGGGTCCGAATCCTTTGGGGTCGGAAACGAATCCTGGGGTCGAACCCATCCCGTCACGTGTTGAGGGACCAGGAAAGGGCGTCGTTCACGGAGTGTCTGGGTGGATGACATTGGTCCGAACCAGGAAGAACAAGCAATCAATGTCGCAACGGACTGGAAGAACTGGGCGGTGCGATTCCAGGGGCAATGCGGTTTGATGGTTTCTGTTGGCTATAGTTCCATTCCCCACCCACAAATCCTTTGCAGACCCTTGAAGGTACACATCATACATCAGCATGGAGGTCGGTTTGTTTCGACTTGTAGTGCCGGAATTGATATGAAGTTACTGTCTCGCTTTCGTTGACGCAACTCCGAATTCACCCTTTTTCACCAAATCAGCACCGCTTCCAGCATGTCAGATAAACAAATAAGAACAACTTGGTTTGTATCATGAGTGGGCATGGGAGGCTTTAAAAAGAGATTTGCATGTGTTATGTATATTGTTACTGTATTATTTGCATAGAATGTATTATACTATAATGTATTATTGCTAGGTTTTTGTACCTGGACCACACCTTCCTTTGCTCTTGGTTCTTCAGCGCCAAACCACGTCTTCTTCTCCGAGGCCCACCGGGCAAACGGACCTCTGTGGCAAGGAGCCCGGAGAGTGCGCCAACCCGCCGAGCATCGATCGGGTCGCAAGTGGATGCCAGCGGGTGTATGTCACTGTCAAGTCACTGTGTAGCAGATGAGTATATCATAGTCATAGGTGGATGAATCAATCCTCTTCAATTTACCATGTGGATTCATCAACTATGCAATGATATTTCTTGATATTTCAATGTGTTCACGTATTTTTCGACCCATATTGTGGACTGTAGAACGTCTTCAAGTTTGGTGGGAATGTATGAATCAACAGATCGATCTACATGACCACCATTCGACCAGATAAGTCGCCAGACGGGGTGTCCAGCCAGTTCTTTTTCGCCAGGACACCCAGACGGGATGGTCCAGGTACCTTTGACCAAATTGAAGATTTCTATGCCAGTACCTTCCCACAGGTCGTTTGTTGAGTTTTTTTTTGTGCAAAAAAAGAGGTCTCAATTGGTCATCTGTCGGAGGGTCGTGACAACCGGTGGGTGTAGGCAGACATGTCGTGCCCTTCTTATCCTTCTATATCCTGTAGATGTTGTTTTTGGGACCTGGCCTGCATTCCAACTTGTGTGGTGAAGAACGAGGCCAGGCAGTTGAGAGAGCGATAGAGCTTGACAGTGTCAGACTGCCGGACTACTGTATGTGCTCGACAGTGCTCCAAGAGGTGTACTGTATGTGCTGTAATATGCACTATTGCCTAGGGCTCCAAGTACCTTCCAAAGAAGGTGGGACTAGGGTGGGTGTAGATGGTCCAAAGACCTCCTGAGGAGGTACGACTGGAGCCCTAGGGATTGTATTTGTCCCACACTTATAGGTACTGCCATAGTTCGCACGTTTTTTTGGAGTTTTGGCATCGTGTTTGGGTACTTGTCCGTTCTACCCACGCTGACGGGCATGTTTGGTTGAACCACCACCCAGTTCATGAACCGACAACTCACTCTTGGACGCACATGTAACGAGCTCCGGAGCTCGCCCCCTTCGCCCTTCAAAGCTCGTTTCACCGGATATCAGGTTGAAGTCCATGAAGCTGATCATACCAACAACCATCACAAAACACGAAACCAACGGATGGGGTCAAACTGGAGCTCTATAGAGAGTTCATGAGAGTTCTTCCATATTCTTCCGTTCTTCCTCTCACAAATGGGTTCTTCCATATTCTTCCGCTTCAGCTCCGCACGAGGTACATTTTCAGGTTCGGGCGTGGTCAGGGAAGTGCGCGGTGGTCAGGGGAGGTTTGGGTCCCTGATGTTTTTTTGGGGGGTCTTTATGGTTTGAGGATGATTGAGATGCTTATTCCTATAGCCCAGACACGACGAAATATGGGAAGGGCATGTTTGCATATTCGGGCCACACGTGGCTTGCTACACTTTGCTTTGCGCCCCTACTCTCAGGTCCTGCTGTCGGGGGCACCCGATTCCTAGCTGTCGGAGTGCAGTTGGTCACCTGCCCAAGCATTCTTGGGGTGACGGATTTGGAAAAAGGTGAACTTGAATTTTCAAGAATTAGACACCCTGTTTGCAAAGCCTAGACAGATTAAGCCGTTGTGGACAGCGCCATGTCATCTCCGAAAACGATTTCATCGTGAACGATTCCAGGTTGTAGATGTTGTATTGCTGAACCAGCTGCTGAACCACAGAATGGTATCTTGAGCAACATTCCAACTGTCAACGTCGCTGCTGGAGTTTGCAGAGATGACACGAACGAAATGGATGCCGCCTGATGCCGCCAGTCACAAAATCCGATGGCTATCTCCAGATTCTTCATTTGGACGCAATCTGCATAGCCGTCGTGGTGAATGGTAGCCCCGGATCCTGTTTGTTCAACAACCCATGTGCGAGACACAATCTACCTGCTGTTGTACTGAATGTATATAATACTTGTAAATGGATCTAGGAATCTAGGTTCATCATGGTTCATCATCTTGCGCTTTGTTCGGAGATTGGTTCTTCAATAAAGGCGATGGCCCAGCCTATAAGACTGTTCATATACACTAGAAATTAAGAACATCTTTTCAGATTTGCACTGACCGTTTTTAGTCTATATATACTGTAGTTTTTTTTCCACGCTATATGATCAGGTATTGGTCTTTGCAAATCTTTGCAAGCCATGGGAGACCCTAAATCAATTCGATCGATTGGTTTGCCAGGGGATCAAAGCTAGATGGTACAAAGCTAGCTTGACCACTGGAGTTCTTTTGTTTTTGCAGCAATTGAACGATCTCTGGTCCTGAGTGCGGCGATCTCCGGCAGGTTTGCCTTGACTCGACGGATGCAGAGTCAGATTGTGCGGCGCCTCAGGATGAACACTTTCTTGACAGGTATATTCCACCCCAGCAGCTTTGCTGATAATGCCGACATTATGATGTCCCCCACCCCTTTGCATTATTATTTCCTTGATACAAGGTATGCTTCCGCTGATTGCTGACGTGGGAGTGCCATGATAGTTGCCATTCCTTGAGGATCCAGTTCCAAACACTCCAGCGGACATCCTGTCGCTGTCGAAGTGCATGGAATGATCGAATTTGGCCAACCTGGCTTGCTCCTTGAGCCTTTTGACAAGAATCATCCCACAAAGATGACAACACCATATTGAAATTCATGACACGCAACTCACACAGGAGCCATGCCAAAGAATTGATCCGGCTTGTGGCTGGAACGCTCCAAGATGCCATTGCAACGGAAAACAACAATCCTGATTTAACTATACCCCAGGGGGTCTTTGGACCATCTAAACCCACCCCAGTCCCACCTTCTTGGGAAGGTACTTGGAGCCCTAGGGATATACATGTTGTACGTGTTTCTTGTGATTTGCTGACGATATATGATCTTTATGGATGCCCTCCGCCCCCCCGTGCCTACATGTTGGATAGGTTTGAGGTGTATGCGGCACAGGGAGTCCCGGAGTGTGGTTCGAGCCAAACACAAAGGAAACCACTACACCGGGGAAGATAAACACGGAATGGAAGACTAGCTTTCCACACAAATCAGTGTTTTTCATGTTCCATGTCAATCTTCCACGGTCCATCTCCACAAGCCCTTGTAGTCCCCCGACAATCTTCACAATGTTGTGCCGTTATTTTGTCAATTGCAGCATTGCACCCCGTAGTCGCCGTAGTCTCTCCCCCCCTGTTTCATACAAATAATCGGATCAAATAGAGAGACCTCTGGAAGATTCGTGAAATAGACCAGTCTACCCATGCATTGGGCCAGGGTGTCTCCCTATTCAAATACACGCCCACGCCCTGTGTGTGTTGTTTTTTTGTTAAACCCGGCCGCCCTGTTCATGCCATGTCCACGCCGGTCCAAAACGATGTGCATGGATCAGTGTGTGGTGTACCCCTATGCAATCAATGGTACGGGCTGACCGATGTGTTTCGTACCTTTCAGAGATATCCTGGAAACGGTATTTTCCACAAACTCTGAAGAAAACAAGAAGCATGATTATAGACATCATTCTTCTCTATGTTAACCCCCTTGTTTGAAAAGAGCTCCAAACAATCGGAAAACACATATTGCACTTTTTGAACACTTGGACCCGATGATTTAAATCAAGATTGATCCAATTTGAAAGTACACTGAAGCACAAGAGTCACTGCTAGTACCAGTCCCAGTTGGGACACCGGCGGGTTTGTTGAGAGAACGGCATGGATCTGAGAAAACGGCCAAGGGATGGACTAGGGCACAAGTGTAAGGGATGGAGAGTAGATGGCACAAGGGCCCCCAAGTTTGGTGGTTTATATTGGACTTCCTTTATTTTTAAAGATATCTTTTTTAGGCCCAGTGCCATCGAACCTCTGAAACCACTGTAAATTCAACTACCTGTAGAGTAACGGCCCAGTAAACCAGGTCTACAAGCCGTCTCTAAGCTCTCTCTTTTCTCTCTCTCTCTCTCTCTTTTGAAATGTGTCTTTGTTTTGCTTCTCTTCTTTCAAGAAACACTGGCCTAGGGGCCTGGCCACCTGGCCTTGGCCGCTCCGGATTGGGCTTGGCCCGGACCGGCCGTGTGTTTCCACGTCGCCGCTTTCCGCCGGAACCGCCCGATCGCACCGAGGTGGGTACGCAGGGGAACAACATCAAGTTCATCCGTTCGGACTCGGGCGCGAAGGCCCTCAGCGCATGGGATTAGAGCTCGAGACCAGAGGAACGAGAGAGAGAGAGAGAGAGAGATGAGTGCAGGGATATATTGTATGTGAGACAGTGCACTCGGTGAATTATTCTGAAGGTCATGTCTTGGAAATCTGGTTTGGTGGGGATGCACAACTGTTGGGAGAACTTATTACTGGCTGACGAACCTTTGCACAAGTGTCGGCAATGTTCAATGTCTCAAGGATTAGCAGGTTTCCGATGGTTTCAGAATACAAGACATTCAAATTCCAACACTGGATGTTCTGCCAGTGCCACTATGTTGTTGTGCTCTTTCTCGGGCAAACCCCCGACTTCGCCAGACGCATGGAAGCTGCGGATTGAGACGTTTCGAAGCTGCAGCAGGTCTTTGTGGAGAATGAGAGCATCATGGGGCACCGTGCAGGTGCCGGACTCGTCGACGGGACCGGTGAAGCATCCCAATCGATCGTCCCCAAACGAACGGACGGCGAGCGGACGTGTTAGTTGAGATGGAACATGGAGTGAATTGTTCAGAAAGACAGTAACATACAGTACGTAACAACACATATATGGCCTCCAAAACCATCCAGATGTAACATTCAATAGGGCCTAGGTTCGATCCCCTCAGACACGACCACTGAAGAGTCGTAGTGAAGTGACCACTGATTGCAGACACGACTGCTGCCAGTGTCCCTGGCAGCCTGCTCCGAACGCGGGACTCTGCCAGCTTCGGGTTGGGCCCCGGAGGCAAAGTGATTGGTACGTCCGGAAAGCCTAGATGAAGGGTACGAGGGGAGGACGAAACCCCGGATGCACCGGAGGGTGCGAAAGCAGTGGGGTTGGGTTGGAAAGCGAGTAGGAAATGGCATGGCACTGGGTCAGAATCTTATCATGTTCGACACTACTCTCATGTTGTGTTAGGCGAAAAGGCGAAAAAGAGATGAATGGTTGACCTGGTGCGATCTCAGGCATTGTTCTTATAAGCTATGAGATAGCTTCTAACGAGAAGCTACGAACGTGACAAAAGGACGCTAAGGAACGTAGCTCGCCAAGAGGTGAGAAAGGAGTCCAGTGCGGTCCTCAAAACTGGTCCAAGGCCTCAGACGATCCTCGCAGCCTTGAAACACATCAACGAGCTGGGGGAACTCAGAGGGTTTCGGTTGATATTTGATGTTTTTTCTATTTGTCCTAACTGGGATCCTATGGGTGTTACCCCCCCTGAGCATGGGGAATATGTGTTGCAATGTTTTGCTATTTCTCAAGCTAAAAAAGAATATTATATACTGTAATGTATATATGTAATTTGAAGTTTACCGGCTTGACAAGGACAATTACAAGGACCCGACCATTGGATGGGGTTTCCCTGTTTGGAACGCGGGGGAGGGCGAGTGCGGAAAACCTGGATCTTCCAACTATGCAACATGTTTGCCTACGTTTTTATTCCAGACTCCATAGAAGACAGATTGTATCATAATTGGGAGGATCCAGGCCAGGTATGGGTGTGAGTGTGGGTGCTTCACTGTGCTTCGCCTGGCTTGCTGATTTCTCAGTGAAGCTGGTCTCGGAGCGGAGCGGTGAGACAAGTGCTGATATAAATATGCATGAAAGTGGACCGCCCACCTATTTGTAGAGTTAAATGGTCATCCTGTTTGCTATGATCATTTTGGAGTGTTCACCTTTTCTTGCTTGATGCCTTCTGAAGACAGGTGAATGCAATAGACGCCTCCAATGTAATGATAATGTGTGCATTTTGTTGTTGTTGTTGTTCTTGTTCTTGTTCTTGTTGTTGTTGTTGTTGTTGTTGTTGTTGTTGTTGTTGTTTCTTTCTCAGCTGTCATGAGCAGTCGTTGTTGCGAAGGGCTTACAGTTTAGTGTGTGAACGTACACATGTATCCAGGTCACAGGGACATAATTGATTAGTTTCATTAGACCTTATTGGAAAGCTGCAGATAAGTAGTAAGCACAGGTCACTGGTGCCCTACTTGCTCACTAACAGGACTCTCCAGCGGGGAAAACCGCGCTCATGGTTTTCTCAAACAGACGATCTTCAAATCAAGGGGTCCATATCCCAAACGCTCCATGTATATGGCATACCAACATTGACCCTTGAATCTATCCCATGTGGGCAAATATTCCATACATGGACTGTTAGGATATAAAACAATATTCTGGATTGTGGTTCATATGAGACCTAGTAGACCCACGTCACTGTGCCAGAACAATTGGCTTTGCATCCAATCTGCTTGAGAGACTTGTTGAAGACTCCTTCTGCTGAAGGGAATTCACCACAAAGAACCATCTGATCGCGTTTGATGATTTCCATGAACATGTCCCTCCCCTTTTTGTTTGCTTTCAAACAGACCGGACGAGTTGTTTGCGGGGCTAAAGCCCTACTAAGCTCTACCCCCTCAAGTGAGTGACCTCGGAGTGACCTCTTCAAAGCCCTGTGACTGTTGGATGTTACTGTTTCCACCCAAGGGCTGTTTGCTCGGCCTAGCTTGGCAAACCAAGGTTCGTGCAGTGCGAGAGCGAATTTGAGGAGTGACTGGTGGTTGGGTTGGAGACCAACTGGTTCTTGAACACCTGAGTCTGTTTCCAAGGGCTTTTCTTCGCGAGGCTCTCCATGAAGCTGATTCATTCACTTGTTGAATTTTGCATTTTCCTCATCCCATGGCTGCCTTATGTTGCCTTGTGGCACAATGGGATGGAGCGACAAGGGTAAGAACCAGTGATGCAAGGGCGTGAAAGGCCAATTCAATAGCGGACATTGGTACGCCGCCAACCCTAACGGTAAGGGTAATGGTCAAGGTGCTGGCCATGATGCACCTGTGCAATACAATCAGCGAGCTAGCTTATGGTATGTTCGTTAGCCAGGTGGCACGCGCCGTCAACAATGAGCAAGTGGTTGCTCACGGCCCTACTCAAAGGGGGCTATCAAACATTAATCTAGGAGTCTTGGAGCTTCGACGCTTGAAGGCGGTGAGACTGTGTACCTAGTGCGACTTCCCTAGTCATGCCATGAGACTGATAAACCAGGGCAGATGTGGATCAGAATCCCACCTTCAATCTTGCATATCGCCTTCTCCTCTGTTGGGTGGGTTTGGCATATCTTCGACTTGAGGCGTGTTTGGTCAATCGAACTAGCTCCAATTGAAGTGGAGACCTATCGGTCCGGACCTACGCTGAGAATGCTCCGCGCTCGCGGGACCTACGTACGCTTTGTGAAGGCATTTCAGTGATTTGCTTGGGACAAATCCAATGATTTGATTTCATATATCGGTTTGGAACAGTGCTTAGAGTACAACGGTATAACAGAATTCAGACATTGGTTCAGCAATGAGTGCTTCGCGTTGATGACTGACGTACGCTGGACAGAATTGATTAACAGCAGAGAAGTGCACACTTGCGGATTCCGGGCTATCCCCCCGAGCAGTCAAAAAGGGATTGCTCACTGAACCAAATAATTGCTCATGGACTTTCTCTAGAACTCAGTTCCACTACAACATTGGACGTGGCCCACACGACTCAGAACCTTCCTCTTTCGGTTCACAACGTCACACGACCCAGAAAATTCCACCAACGCTCTGTGGAACAGAAGCTGTCCGTTCAAGATGTCTCGAATGCACGGACAGCTTGGCATGCGGATGCATGGCGTTGACGGGTTCGTAGCTGCTTGGGATGCAGCAACGCGCTGGAGCCACCGATGACACGCTTGGCGCGTGGTCCACAAGGTACGAAAGTGTCGCTTGCACGACAAGTCTTTCCACTTGCCTGTATGGAAGTGAAGGCACTGCAGGACAGACGAGCCAAGACACTGCACCTTCCACCCAAACAGTGGAAGAGCAGTGCTCACGAGTCTGTTTGTGGCGTGAGCAAACGAAGCTCCAGGTTCAGGCCAGCTGGACGTACCTGTCAGTACCTGTTGTGATTTTCCACGATTTTCCACGCTTACGTTTCACCTAGTTAAACAATATTGTTGCCGACCTTTCGTCTAATCGTTATTCAGCCAAGGTCTATGGCGGCATATAACTCTAAAGGGCTCACTTCACTCTCTAAACATTCACTATTTCTGTGCTCCTTCTGAGCTCCATCTCGAGTGCGTGTGCTTTCCCAGCTGATGCTGTAGGGCAAGGAGGCCAGTTCACCCGGAACATGTTGATGGTGCTGAATTGGTCAAGGCCTTTGTGTTCCATGTTTTTTTTAGTGTAGGAGATGTGTCTATGAGTCTCTAGGGTGCAATCACCATGAATGACAGCAATTAACACATTGGGCTTCCACGCTGATTTCAAGGCCAGACGGGGCCTTTCCACATATAATGCAGCTCACAAGCTCCCATTGTAAGCGGTCAGGCGGTCAACCGGTCCGCCGGTCAGTAGAGAACCTGCCCAACTTTGGGAGTAAAGTGGTTTCCCACTAAAAGTAACACTCCGACTCACTAGCATGGAAGTGGAAAACCCACTCTTTGTAGAGGAAAGTAGTCCTCCAAGAGGCCATTTTCCACTTCCATGTTAGTGAGTCAGAGTGTAACACTCACCTTCAGTATCCCTTTTTTGAAGGACAATGGAGGAAGTCTGTCAGCATTTTTCGGCGTGGCCATGATCTACAGATCCACTCAGATCAAATCAGCAAAACTGTCCACTGAAAAAATGTCGTTTGTTTAACATGCCCTGTGAATGGGTGACCTCCGGTTCGATGACCCCCGCGGGCTTTGGATAGCTTGGAGATGGAAAGCTATAGGGCCACTGCAGGTGGCTCGGGAAACAAGTCAGACAAGTTACCTTTCTGGAAAGTATGGGTGTTCAAGATAGATAGCTGACAAAACACGGTCAAGTGCTCTCGGATTCAGTTCAAGCCAGAGATGTTTTTCGCTGCTTTGTGTCATTGGTGATGTTCATCCAATTGACTAATTGCACGCTGCGATGTTCATCTCACTGTCATTGGTTTCCACCGGTTTTCTCCACCGTTCGGATCAAAAAGGAACGATCTTGGTTGGATTTGTCGCAACGAATCCCACATCCCCAACGCACTGTTAGTCCGGGCACGGATGGGTTGGAACGGTTTCGGTTGGCCATTCAGCTCCAGTTGCCACGAATTATTCCCAGTTCCCTTACTAACCAGAGGTTCGAAAGATCCAGTTCACAGTTCACATCCCAAAACAACCAAAAGGGCAGATCAAGTCCGGGTGTTCCTTGCTCTCCTTGCTCTTGCAGGAAGAGTTTTACCAGGGCTACTCTCGGATCGTGAACTTCACCGAGGCCACTGAAAACCTCGGCGGGCGGGAGTCGACCATGGGGCTGCACCTGGGAAGAGGTGCAGATTCAACCGGTGTTTCCCTGTGTTCATGATCTTGTGGGTTTAGCTGTTCATGTTCAAACTCACCTCTGACATGTATTTTCAATTGGTGTCATGTGGAAATTCCCCCAACATCACGAACTGAATCAGCCACCTGAGGGTTTTGTCGATGCTTTTGGTGATCAACACTGTCTCAATCAACGTGGTTCAAGCGCCCCTGACCATCACAGCAAGTACGTGACCTGCACGTTCAAGCGTTCCGCTTCTCTAAGAGGCGGATCCTGTCTCCAATAATGGAGATGGATTTGGATGGCGGATAGGTCCTGTTCTTCAATTGACTTCTATGTGCACTTGTTCTATCTTGTTCTGTTGTGAGTGAGTTATCAGCCATGCATCCTGGGTGCCTGGGTGCCGCTTGTGAGACCCGTGTGACCTGTGTTCTCCACTTTCACCGTATCACCACGGTTCAAACTGACTTCAAACAGCTTAGGGAACTCATCCGGTCTCGGCACGGCAAAGATGAACAAAGCACATTTCAGCCTACCTCTCACCCACCATCTCCTTGATCTAGTGACAACTCTGTTGTTTCCCCAAAGTATTAGACTGCCCCTTTTGATCTTATTCATTCGGTAAGTCATAGCATGTGCGTGACTGTACATGTACAGTAAAGCCATTAGCAGCCACGGCTCATGTGTGTCAAACATTATTCACATCTACGTATATTGAAGTGGCTCGATTTTAATACCCTGTAGCTTGCAGGCACCAACCCCCTGAAAGCCATGGAAAGGAACATTTCAGAACGTATACCCGGACTAACCTGAGTTGAATTCATATAATCAAACACCAAACAAAATGGTGTTCTGATCCAAGCTCCTTTTCTACATCAAGTAGAACCCCCAGCGGCTCACGCGTTTCCTCCGCCCTTCCGAGGCCGCTCAACGTGGATGGGAGCCGCCCCCTGAGCCCAAGGACCGTCGCGACGTCACCCGCGCGAGCTCAGCGGGCAACCGCGATGGATCCAGAGACACAGAGATAGGGGAGTTAAACATCAAAGTCGAACTGTGTCGGAGTTCAACTGTGATGTGGTTGGACATGAAACTCAATGGCAGCCTCGGAACTCGGAACTGTACCGGAGAACAGAACAAGAGATAGACAAAAAATTGTACAGAAGGGTCTAAGAAACATCCGATGTTCTTTCGGAGGGGTGATGTATAGGATAGTCGGGACCTAGTAGCGTCCTTGCTCCTAGTAGTGCCGTTTGGAAGTGGCCAAAGGTCAAACCTGATCCAACTCACGCTGAAGCTCGCCGAACCATGACCGATGATTGTGGGTCCGCCTGGAGGATTCTCTGGTTTTTCTCACCCAGAGGCCTCATTCCGAAAAAACGAAGAGAAAACAAGGACTCTTGCACCTGAAAAGAGAGACAAAGGAGAGAAATCATTCCTAGCGGCCAAGACCTGTGCACCAGATGTTCCACGACCCAACTCCTGCACCGGTAAAACGACGGGAGTCCGCTCGCACCCTGGGACGCAGAACTGAACCAGGCATCCAAGATGGCACGCGTCTCTTCTTGGCATCGAGCAGAACCAGAGACACGGTTCGGATCTTCGCGTTTTCTTTTCCTGACAACCTAATCCCTAGGGCTCCAAGTCCCTTCTAAGAAGGTGTTTAGGGTGGGTTTAGAGGGTGGAGGTACTTGGAGCCCTAGGGAATTATGATTGAACCCAAGGGGAAGACCCCGTTGGAGGTTTGGGGCTTATAACGGTATAACGGTATATAAATTGTATCATATTAATTATTGTGGTGTAACAGTGTATGGTCCATTAGCCTCTACTGGTAGAGGCCTCTCTGTATGATACTGTATACACCTTGCGAACACTGAAGACCTTGGACACAATCCTTCCGTCACCTTGAGGTCATGTTCACAGCTCTCCGTTTCCCAAGGACCAGGAGCCCCCCCCCCAAAGGACCAGGTGCCCACGGGCACAAAACGGTTGGTCCTTCCGACCTGGTGGGCGGCAGGACATGGACAAGCCCGGGGGAAACCGCCGCACGGGGCTCCAGAGTCACTGAGCGAGGAACGGCCGTGGCCGTGGTCGACGGAGCGAGGGTTCCGGCGGAACCTGGTCAGAATGGCTGCGCCTGAACTGGAACATGGGTTTGGTTGGTAACTGGTGCCCAAAGGAACTTGTTCGATTCGGCAGGCCACTGGGCTGGTGGTTTTTTGCATTTGTTGTGGTCTTTCCAAAAACAAATAGCCCTATGATTTTATCAAGATACTGGCTATACTGCATACATGATTCTAAGAAGTCACCCCTGCCTTAAATTGACTCCCACCGGTATGTTCATGTATACCGTTACAGTATCTGTTATATCTGAATGACTCCTTAGGCCATCCCGGTGACCCTTCCACCACGTCGCTCACCGCGTGCGTCGAGGTCTGGCGGGACCACAGGGCGTCACCACCTCCGGCGCACGGGTGCCGAGCCGAGTGGGCGGGGCTCGCGGAACGGACGACGCGGAACGACGCGTTCGGGCGAGGAAGAGGCGACGCAGTGCGTGGTGTTTTTCGTGGTTTTGCCACTCAAAGAAGAGGAAAGTGAAGAGGAAAGTTCGGTTCGCCGTTTCGTTGCGGGATGATCCGGGTTAAGGGACAAGGAAACTCAGAGGTCTGGTGCTTCAAGGGTTCACCAGTCCCAGAGCTCAGCTAGGCCACACTAGGCCGAGGCCGAAACCTTTGGAACCTGTGCACGCTGCAAAGGCTTCACGCTAGGCCCGTCAGACACGAGGAAGTGCTTTTTGGAGCCGATAACTCTTGAACTTCATGGTCCCGTCAGACACGAGAGCGACAGCGCAGGACGAGGAGCAGCAACCTCAAGGAGTTGAACGGGATGAGAAAAAAAGAGGAGACATCACCTGGGACCTTCAAAAGGTTGCTCATCACAGAAATTCCGCAGGTCTGGGCTTGTCCAGGTGGTGGCTGCGAGCATCAAATGTGTTTGTCCTTCATCCCAAATGGGAGAAGGATTGAGAAGAATCACGGATGATTCCAAGCAGGTCCAATGACTCAAGTACATGGTAGCCCCACTTTTAAGAGGCCGTGGAGTGGAGTAAAATGTTTGGATGAGGTGCTGTTCAAGATTGTTCCGAAACCACCGCGCCACACACCACAAACCAGGGTGTTTTGCTCATTTTGTCTCCCCAGTCGAGGTCCGCCCATATTAATGGGAAAAAACAGGTGGCTTCCTTGCAGTGTGGTACGACTTTTGGGGGGAAGAGGGTTTCAAGTTACTCTATTTTCGTGAACAAAAGACCTTCCACAAAGTCTCTGCGAAGATGCCTGTTTTTGGAACCATGGCGTTCTCGTTGCAGTGGTGCTGCCCTTTTTTCTGGAAGAGGGGGAAGAAAGAACTGTTGCTCCATGTCATTCATGTTGTCTTGAAGTTCATGTCGCACATGGACGAAACGTGCCCCAGATCGCCCATGCAGCGCTGCAGCACGGCACGGATCGCCCGTCATGCAAGCACGTTCACATGATCCGCTCTCAGTGCTTCCGCCACAGGAGCCGCAGGTGTAAGGTTTCGCTGCCATCCTGTTGCGTTCACGGCTCAAAATCCGACTGTCGCTCCAGAACTGGAATTCGACTCCAACTGGAGCCACTCCCCACCCAACACGTCACATTGCAGTGGCCTGTAGCACGCAAACCGAGCACCACTAGCCTCACCCGAAGACATCGCATCAAAGCAGTGGCGTAGCGAAACCTCCAAAACGAACGAAAGCGCACGGCCTCTTAACAGGGGCCCCACCAAAAACAGGGGGAGTCTGACCCAGTAGATGCCACAGGTATGTTTTTGAAGGTCTTGAGAACCGGCGCTTTGCCTGCCATTTCACAAGGTGAGTCATTGTGGGATCCAACACAGGTGATCCATGCAGGGCAGGATGTGCCGGGCAGGGTTTCAAAGACGCCGCGAACGGAGTGGTGCGCCTCTCCACTCGGTGGAGTGATCAGCAGACCCTGTTGAGACCGGGTTCCAATCCACTGGATCGTGGCTTGTCTCGAGCTGCGGAAGTGCGCAACACGTGGAGTGATCAGCAGACGTTCCGGAAGACTCGACCGTCTGTGGCTTGTCGGGATTGGAGTCTATGTCGACAACGTCATCCTCAGGATCCGAAGTGGTCCCGAAGGTGTTGGGAGTTGGTCAAGTCAGAATATTTGCAGAGCAAATCATGTAGACTCTTAGAATATGTAATAGCCCCCTCAGACATGGATTAAAGAATTCTGTTCATCCTTCTCTATCTCCACCCGCCTTCAATCTTATGACGTGCGCTCCTAGGTGGTGCACGGGAAGTCTGCTGGGTGCCAAGTGCTTTCGGGACCCAGCCACCCAGGTGCAGGGCCTGCAGGGCCAGCATGGCTTTGATCAATCCGTAGGATCCTTGGGGGTCAATGACCTTTCCAAGGTGGCTTAGGGTGCCATGGTTTAGGGGGTGGGTCTAACCCAACTACCTTCTGAGAAGGTCGTTTTCAATGACCTTTCTTTTTCCAAGGGTGATTTGGGGTGCTTGGGGCGCCTGGAAGTACCGTGCGAGAAGGTGCTTGGAGCTGGAAGGCATATGCCACGGCCTAGCTTTCTTGTACGACTACAGTGTTACATTACGTGCGGAAGTGGATTTGCTCGCTGCGCCTGACGTCTTGCGACTCAGCCCGATGGGACTCAGCTGGTCACCAACACCTTGTCAGGTAGTCTTGGATACAATTCCCAGACACGACACATGGGACTGGCATATGAATCCATACTATTGGGGTGGTTGAAAAGGGGTCTGTTTGGGGCGCTAGATCTACCAGTCCCATTTGGTTTGCTTCCAGCTCGTTCATCCCACTGCTTGCGCCTTGCGCATGATGAAGAGCGCGCTCGTCCGACCCCTCGGAGCGTCGATTTCGAAGTACCCTCCCTGGAATTAACAGGAATTAACATGCTAAGTGGAGTTCACCCCCTGGTTGTATGAGGATTTCATGGTCTTCCTTTCGGGGGAAAAAAACATCCACCCACTTCCATGTGAGTTCCGAGGAGTGTATTGCTTGGTACTCCAAGTGCACCCCCGTCTTTTTCTTTCTTTCAGGTCGGTGACTCGACTTCCACAAACAGTTAGGTTTCATGACTTCGACTTCCACCGTCCACTCCCCCCAACAAAAACAGGAAAAAACAACCAACAAGTTGACGACTGTTTGCGTTTCTTACCTATACCCCATACACTCCATATATGATATGCCTACATTAGGCTGGTTTGGAGGGGTCAATGTAGGCATATATTGCATACATGGAGTGTTTGGGTACAGCATAGCCGCACAGCGCAGGTTGTGCTCTGATTTCCTTCGTCGCACCGCCTCACCTTCCACACCGCGACACCGGCCGCGACGACACCGAGGGCAAGGGCGACGGGCGGCCCAGGGGCTCGATGAATTCCACCAAGGCGGGGGACGCGATGTGTTGTCCACGGCCATTAATTTGGTTGGAGGCCATCGCTATGAGGTTGGAGGCCATTACTACTATAGTAGGAAGGACGCTACTCGGGTGGAGGCCATGGCCATTTGGTTGGAGGCTTGGGAGATTGCTTCGATGTCACCAGAGAGGATGGGTGAAGATGATGCTTGCGATGTCAACCAAAGATGGACCAAATTGACGCAGATGGAGGGCAAAGCTTGACCGCCGCGGTCCAGATGGATGGAGGTCCAGCAACTCACTGGTGAGCGCTTGGATGCTAGACCAGAGTGAGGGAGCATGATTCAGTCTTCACCCATCCAAGTGACCATCCATTTGAAGCCACCAACAGACTATTTGAGTGAGTCTCAGTTCGTACAGTACCTGAGAACATGGAATGCAGGATCCCTACCTGTTCCCCTGGTGTTCACCGGGTCATGTTCCATGTTCTGTGCTTGAAATCGGGTCCAGGTATAGTACCCAAACACGACCAATGAGACTGGTATATTGACCTACATTGGCGTGGTTGATCTGGGGCGGCAGTCCTATGGCAGTCCCATGGGTCGTGTCTGGGGTAGTTCATACCAGCAGCTATGTGCGGTTCCAGCAGACGATGACGGGCCGCACGGGCCGCAGAGGTCGGTTTCGAATGCTTATATAGAGCAGTTTCAGCCTCGGTCCCTCATGGCTGGAGGCCAGTGATGCCGCCTCGGCTGTGAACTGCAAAAGTACCCCAGGCTTATATTTATTCCATAACCTCCGTTTTTGATTGGGAATATGTTGGATGATGTTGGATGGTTGATCCTCCAACCAGGGGCCACTCAGGTTCTAGATGTACATGGGTCGTTTGGGTACTAGTTTGTCCCGCCAGGCTCCGCAGTACAAGCCGGGGAGCTGCGATCTCAGCAGAACGGAACATCTTCGCCGAAACCGAGTTGCATTCGATTGGTGAGTTTGTGTAGTTGTGTATATTGGTTGAACTTGTTGGGTGATGCTGGATGCCATGGTATCGATCTACCTGAACATTGGGGAATCTGTGCGCTGAAAGATTAGAAAAGGTCAATTTTGGGTCAGCTCGACTCACCACCCCAGTTTTTCCCGCAGACTGGAAGACGATACTCTTTTTTTGTGCCAAAAACCGCGTGCCACAAGCATGACACCATACTGTTTATAGTATAGAAAGTATACCATTAAATTGTACAATGTTTTACCCAGCTTCAACTCCTTGGAGTCTCCTTAGAGTCGCTTGAGTCTTCGCAGTCGTTTTGCCCCTCTTTTCCGGCGGCCGCCGCCTTCTCCGGCTGCGAGGTGGTCGGGAGGGTCGCTTCAACATCGTCCCGCCCCCACCGGCCGTGACGCCGCGCGGCGGGGGAGGTGCCCGGGTCGAAGTCGGAAGTCGAAGCAGTCACTGCTAAGACTGAATGAGCAGTCAGGAAGGTGGCGGAGGTACAGTATCACCATGTGTCACCTATACTGTTGGATGATTCCAGGGTGATGGTAGGTCAGAAGTGCCGGAGGTGGTTTGAAAGTGAGAAACATCCGACGTGCCTGGCATCGTCTACTAATTGGGAACAGCTGCCTATTTCAGAGGTGGGTTGGAACTGGCAGCTTTAAAGGTCTTTACACATTGCTTGATTTCGAAGCCAAAAAAAGCATGAGGCTTGTATGGCTGTGGCCTTAAGGCAAGACCGCTCGTGTGCAGAGGAGCACGGGTGCAGCTTTGTGGCGAGATCGTGCTCAGAGCTGCGGGCCACGAAGCTCAGTCCAGTTCCCCTCGAGTTCCCAGTGCACAAGCAGCGACGCGAGCAGACTGCGGGAGAAGTGCGAGCGAAGGACGCAGATTTGTCCTCTCGAAAACGGGCAACACAAACATGAACGAGAGGAAGAGACATCAAATCGCGCAACAGCAGCCCACTCTCGTGCGTCGTATGACTGTCCGACTCTCCGACTATTCCATTCTGGAGTCCATTGTTGGGCTGCTGTGCTGGCATCCCGCACAGAGGCTTTCTCCGTTGGGGTCTACCTGCCCTCCAGGTAGTTTCTCCGTTTTCCTCGGTTATACTAACTTCATCTCTTGTGTTTGATGGAATCTATTCGAGCAGTACTGTATTGAGGATGACATGCCAGGCTTTGATCAAAACAAATTGCGTTTGGGGCAGAGGTGTATCTACCAGTTTGAGGAAAGGTGACACCATCATCCCTTTATTGGGTGATGCGATGGTTTGATGTGATTCTTATCACTGCTGCAATCAGGTTTGCTTCTCAGCTGCTTAGGAGCACATCATAGTGCTGTTATATAGCCTTTTTAGTCTTTATAGCATGTTGCAGCATGCGCACTCGAGGAATTGACTTGCTGTCCAAAACACCGACTCTTTGGCTTGGCTAGACGTCTTGTCTTTAGCTTTGTGACGGCCCGCGTGTAGGCTGGGGTCCGATCACCCCAACCCTGCTCGCCGCAGTCCGGCAAGTTGGACCTGTTTTGCCGGTCAAAACAGGTCAAAAATTCACTGTGCAGATGATGGACTGACAGGCACGACCCATGGGACTGCCATATATGCCGCCCCATTGAGGCACCCCAACACCCACCCCAACTGATCGGCATATATGGCAGTCCCATAGAGTGTCTGGGGTATGTATGTGGACGTCGACCGGGGTCAAGTCCTTTACTCTCGTTTGTTATCGTCCGTTCAGGCCGAGGGGCTGAGTCCATCGGTGAGGACAGGGTCTGGGACCATCTGGGCGGCTCAATGGAAGCAAGTGTTGTGACACCAAACTGATCGGGGGGGTTCGGTGAGTTGGAGGTTTGTTGGAAGGCTGCAGCGAACAGTTGGTGATATATGTGGCTATAACTTATAACTTATACTGTACTCTTGACAAACACCACATGTGGACCAAAGAATGCACCACTGAATCAGGCTGCAGGCTGGAGGTGTGTCACGGCGGTCTTTTGATTGGTAACTTGGAGTTGTTCATGTATAGATGGCTTTGCTCTGTCAGGACAGGATTCAGTTTCCTCGGCTCACACTGTTTTCTGACAGGATTGGGAGGATCTGTCACTCCGATAAATTTAATTCCCTATAGGTTTTGCATGGTTTTGCGGTCTAGATCCACCCAGCTTCTTCAGTTTGTGACCTGTTCGGAATCCCATCGTTCATGACCTTTTGACTGGTCCTGCCGTGACCTCAAACTGGGCGGTCAGCTTGGCGCAACGTTCATGGAACCCGCGTACAGAGTCCACCCCCCGGGCTGTTTGAGGTGTCCGTGAAGAACTCAGGTGGTGTCCGCACCGGGCCGTGTGGAGACCTGAAATAGCTCATGGTGGAAGTGGATGGGGCCCCAACAGGACCTTGAGTTTTCCGAAGACCAAACAGATGGTGTTCACTCCACTTTCATGATTGTTTTGGGGAGTGTAGTTCACACCACCCATCTTCACCCTCCAAACGAACGGTGACATGCCGAAACATGCCAAGCTTCACTGCGGTGCGCAGCGCAGGATGTCGATAGCTTGGCCGGGCGACCGAAGATGGGTTCATCCAACGGCGGACATTGGAGGGAGCGCCTCAAACACCTCTCTCTCCGATCCCAAAATCAGAGATCGACGACCGGATGTGTTTCCTATTTGATTTGATGTGTTTCCTTTCCCCTATAGTCTATAGATCGTTCCAAGGAGATTTCGCAGCGTTTAGGGTGCGCAGCCAGCGATTGCAGCGTTGCAATCGCTCTTTGTTATTGTCGCGATTGCAGGGTCGTTTTGAGGAACAAAACCGTTGAGATTGGGACAAAACCGTGGAGACCTATAGGAACGGAAAACACGGGAAAACACAGGGAGATAGGAGGGGATCTTCAAAATACCAGTGCGACTTCGATTGGTTTTGGATGAAAATGCAACACTTGCTGATTTTGTTGCAACTCAGACTGCCTTTGGAGCTGCCTGGCAGAGATATGTCTCCAAAGTCTGCCAAGAGAAGATGATCAGTATCCACGTTTGAAACGAACCCTAAGTGTACTTACATCTCCTTCAATTCCCCTAGAGGCAACATATGTTTCAGGAAAGCACACAGAATGCAGACTTCATCCTTAAGTATTTGGGCACCCTCATCACAGAGCATGGAAACCCAGCTCAAGAGATTCGTCGCCGTATCACCGCCACAATGGCAGTTTTTTCAAACGTGAAGCACTGGAACCCACAGATGCCGCAGCGCGGCGCACCTTCTGAATGCTTTTCAACCAACATTACACCACCGTAGACCCCAGACAACTAGGACAACAAAGAAGCATTCCCAAGTCCATTTTTTTGAGACATGGGAGACAAGAAGGAAGACAAAGTGGACACAATGACCGCGCAATGACCAACAAGAAGGGGGACAAGAAGGGAGACAAAAGAGAACAGAAGGGAGACAAGACGGACACAATGACCAACAAGAAGTGAGACAAGAAGGGCGACAAAAGGAAACAGAAAGGAGGCAAGATGCACACAATGACCAACAAGAAGGGAGACAAGAAAGAAAACAATAGGAAACAGAAGGGAGACAAGACGGACACAATGATCAACAAGAAGGGAGACAGGAAAGGATACAAAAGGAAACAGAAGGGAGACAAGATGGACACCATGACCAACAACAAGGGAGACAAGACGGACACAATGACCAACAAGAAGGGAGACAAGAAAGGAGACAAAGACGGACACCATGACCAACAACAAGGGAGACAAGACTGAAGACAAAAGGAAACCGAAGGGAGACAAGACGAGCACATTGACCAACAAGAAGGGAGACAAAACGGACACAGTGACCAACAAGAAGGGAGAAAAGTGGAAACAGAAGGG